CTTCTTAAGTCAATGAATTTAAACAGTTCAAAAGAGGGTATTCTCTAAAACTCCAAAGTGTGCTAGAAAAATATATTTGGAGGATGAAGAAACACAAGCTTAGAGATAGTAGTATTTTTTAAAAACATACTACAAAATTAGTTCAATACCAGTTTGATATCATGTGCACTTAGTTACAATGGATGATGAAACTACTTATAGATTATTTGCTCTGTCATTACATACATATGTACAGAAGTCTAAGATGAAGAAATTAATTTTTAACATATACATACATATAAACACATCAATCTCAGCTTTTGACCATATACACTTATTAACCTGAGTTTGGAGTGTAATGTACATATACATATATGCAAAAAAGTCAAGGGTCTTTAACCTTCAGTGTTTTAAATATAAACACAAATTAATTTGCTCATATATTTCTAAATAATAAAACAAGATCAAGAAATATAAAAACATTATTCAGTTATAATAAAGCCATCCTTAAAGTTATTAACAAAACTGAAGAAACATTACCAGAGAGACATCTAAATCTTGAAAATAAAACTGATTTGAAACAACAAGGACAGGAGAAACAACCATAGAACCAAATCTAATTAAGCTCTTGAAAATTTGGTAAAACAGAATAAGATGCAAAAAGCAGAGCTGACAAGCTTCTAGACTGAAAGTTTTAGAATAAGTAGCACAACAATACTTCCTAAGAGTTCCAGCTCAGCAAAACTCAGAAGAGACAGCAAATTTCAGCCAAATTTATAAGAATTTTTTTAAAAATTAACAAAACAAAAATAATCCCTAATCCATTACAAGAAAGAACGTGGATGCTGTTAACCTAAAATCTAAAGAAGTAAAAAGATCCAAAGAAGTTGCATTAATTAATTCTATAAGGATCTAAAAAACTATTCTTCTATCCATGGAGCATTTAATCAGATCATAGAGGAACAGATGAACCTTTCATTTGGAAGACAGCAAGGACCATTAACACAGGTTTTCAACACACCATGGCAGACAAGGAATGGCAATCCCTGTAGATATCTGCGCCCACGTAAACCATGGAACTGCAATTTATTTTAAGAGCAACACTGCAGTTACTTAGTATATCCCACAGACAAAAGACCTTTTTTTCCAATAGAATGGGAACATTAAGACATTGTATTAAAAAATATAATGCCCTTAGAAAAGGGCATTTCCATTTCTGTTTTATATAAATACATCTTGATTTCTGACTAAAAGGTGTACCACAAATAAATTTATATTCAGAATGACAACCTAAACTGGTACAACTTCACTATTGCTTTTGCTCTATTTGCATGAACTCTGATCACAGCAACTGCACACAAACCTCCAAAAACAGATGCACAGAACAAAGTCTAGAAGGAATGCAAGACTTGTTTTATGGGAGCAATAAGTTGCTTCTTATTTAAGATTCATTGTGCAAAAGCAGTAATATTTCATATGAACTTAGTTTTTTATTTCATATAGCTTAGTTTTTGCATATGAAAGAAGAATTTGCTATAAACACACTTTCAAAACATTCAAATAGGATATACAGAGTACTGCAGAGTTAACAAGGCTTTTGAGTATATCACACTATTCTAGGAATAACCAGTGTTTTTAAAAAGTTACTAGAACAAAGAAACTTTCATTAACTCATTAAGCTGTAATGGTTATTTCAAGCTGTCCTACCATGTATATCATGCAGAAGGCACCAAGAGCTTGACAAGCTCTTCTCACATCATCTCAAGACAGCAAGAGGCATCAGGCAAGCACACCAGTATTATATAAGCCTTCTAAAATTTCAATCAACAGGTTCCTGAACACACTGGCATACAAAATCACCTAGCTTAATGGAAGAAGGTGTGGAGTAACACAGAATGAAGAACAATATAAAGATTTCTCAAAGACAGATTATTTGGTTTACTAAAAAATAAACAAATATTTTAAAACTCAAGCCCAAAATATTCTGCCTACTTAGAGAAAGGATAGCAATTCCAAAAACAATTTCAATCTGTCTGCCAAAGTAATTAATAGAAAATCAAATGAAGAGTTCCCTACAAACAGTAACTCTTTCTATCCAACATCCACCAGTGACATGGTCAACGTGCATGAGGCTGCACAGACTAGAGGATGATAATTAGTGAAGTGGCTGGCAATATAAACTGAGATCCTATTGTTTTTCTACTTGCTTACTTCAAAGAAGTTTGTTCTGTGACAAGACACTATTATCTTTCTTGTAATTAGTGCTAAACTCTCCAATCACAGAAGAAATAATGTCTCCTAATCACTCAACACATGGAAAATTAATGTGTTGAACATTCTCAGTGACAGATTATCTGCACTGTCAGAAACAGAGCTAAAAGATGGTCAGACCCTTAGAACTACACATGGCAGTCCTGGCTTCCAAATACAACAAAGACCTGCAGCAAATAAACTTACATTTCTAGCCAAGAATATGAACCAATTCATTTAAATATCAATATAGTCCCTTTTGTGTGTGTGTATATATATGTGATGACATAATATCTCTATCCGATAACAAAACCTTACTCTTTTTTTAGAAAGAAAATAAAACTGCAAAATGTTTCTTTTGCAAAGATTCTACCACTTATCAGCATCACCCAGTAACTACCACACACTAACTTTTAACAGCATAAAGAAATCAGCTTTTTGTTTTGAAGACCCAACATGCTGCAGTACCAAGTGTCTTACAAACAACACACATTCACAAAGTACTGAAGCTTCACATTCTACTAACTGCAGAAAGGGCTGTACTTCACTGCACAACTAACTGAGTCACACACAGTCACTATTGGTGCTGTATCTTACAGAGCTGACACAAGCTGAAAAACTCACAGGCTACTGCACTGAACAGAAAAAGGGATATGGAAGGTATCAGAGGGTCCCCCTCACAACAATAAGCACAAGTATCCCTATTGACCCTTCAACCCAGCCAAACTCATTCAGGGTACAGAGCCCTACAATCTCCTCTCACCTTCTACTAGGAAAAGCAGCCACTGCCATAACACCTTCAAAAAACATCAACATTCACTTACTTCAAATATGAACACCGGGTTTTCTTTTTCAGTCTCATTGTAATTATACACATTTTTAAAACTAATAAGAGGTTTTCCCATCAGACTTTTTCTTATATTCGATTTTTTATCCTGTGGGCACAAATGACACCAAGAGTAATAGGAACCATCACATCCAATATTAGGGCTCCGGAGACGAGGGTCTGGAGGCCCAGGTAGTCTTTTCATTAATTATGCCAGTTTGGGTAAATGATGAGAGCAGAAGTAGTTGGATTTACAAAGTAAACTGGCTGCACCACTGGTGCTGGCAACAAGATTTTGTTTTAGGACTCTGCTGATTGGAAGAGATAGAACCCACCTCATGAAACAGGTCACATAAAAGCCTTTGCCAACAGAATGGCCAACCTGGTAAAGTCAGCTTTGAACTAGGAGAAGTGGGAGGAAAGGACTGTGTGACATTCCCTTGCAGCCCTACTGAGACACAGACACACTCAAATACCTCTGTGAAGAGCTGGCACATCAGTGAAGGCAGTACAAGGAATGAGCAGCAGGAATTTGAGATCTCTGTGCAGTTACAAGGCTTTGATCTCACTGCAATTACCAAGACATGATGGGACAGCTCACACAGCTGGAATGTCACAGGGAAGGGCTACAACTGTTTAGAGCAAACAGACCAGGAAGGCACAGTGGTGCAGCTGCCATACTTCATTGAACTATCAGTCCTTGACAGTGTAATTTCAAAAGCAGTGGTAGAAGCCATGAGGAAAACTTTATCCAATTTACTGTGCTCAATTAACTGCCTTCTGATGCTTCTGAGCCCAAACCTATACCTAACACCGAAGTCCAGCCCTGGTAACAAGTTAGCAGGTCTAAAAACCATTACCAAATTACTGATGAGACACCCAAGCAAACTGGTTCAGAGCACAAGGAGGAAAGGAAAAACTGTCTCTCATTTGAGTAACGCATATCCCGGATCCAGAAAAAGTCCTTTTTTCTTTGGAAATTAACTGGCAATCTCAGAGAGAGAGAGATAAAGCAGGGTCCCCATTTCAGAACCTTCATGTCTTTGCAGATAAACAGAATACTTCCACAAAAGCAAAAGCAGACTGAATAAAGTATTTTTTGCCAACTTCTAACTTCAAATCTTGCCAAGACAACAAGTTCTTATCTAGATTCTCATCTCACTGTCATAAAAGGAAGAGCTGTTGAGATGGGAACAAAGTCTGCCCAAGGAATAAAGTAACACTAGAAGCTTCCAGATACTTCCACTACCTTCAAAAAATAATAAATCATTACATCTATCCAATTAAAAACAATAACCATAAAAGAAAACCTTAACAAAAGAGCAAACTATCTGGCACACCTCAAACTGAATCCTGACAATAATAATATGGCAGTGGGAGGAAAGGGAAACAGTCACAAGACAGTTAACATAAACCCCTTCCATTATTAGCTTCACTTATGTCTAATGTGCAAAATTATTTACTTTCAGATTTTAATTTTTAAATCACTCAGACCAAGGATGGGTTCAATTTCCTCAGAAGAACAAACTAAGAGCTTAGAATGATCAGGGATCAAGCCCTGACAAAAAATTTCAAGCCTCATAAAACAGCTGATACTAATTGTTTTTAATGTTTTGGTGATTCAAATGCAGACTTAGGTTGAATTTTCTGAATTTAAATTAACTAATATTAAGAGAATCTAAACATATTAGAGCTCAACAAACTCATGTTATTTAAAGGAGTTTTTGTACAGAAATTGCAATAGACAAGTATTTTTTCTTATTAAATTCTGTCACATACTTCACAAAATACAGTAACTCATTCTTTCTTTAGAGCTGAAAGGACAAAAATATATTTTTCTTCAACCAAGGTTTGACAAACCTCACCAACAAAAACAGGCACAACTGGATAGCCTGGAAAAGAATTACCTGTAAAACCAAATAGCCACCATCTGTGAGTATCTTACCTTTAAATAGGATCCATAATATTTAGTTACATATGGACTGTCACACTGACTCAACACCGTGATTTCTTGTTGGATGTCTTCTATTTCATCTTCTGCTTCTTCTAGGTCAATAATTTTTATAGCAACAACTTTCTGAGTCCGATTGTCAATTCCTTTAAAAACTTCACCAAAAGACCCCTTACCAATTCTCTCCAGTTTCGTAAACAGTTCTTCTGGATCTGCCTTCAGAGTCTGTTAAAAAGAAATATAAAGAGAAAAGTCACCCAGTATTTTTAACACAATATGGTATTTTTAAAGGCAACAAACACTTCAAATTCTGCAAATTCCTATTTATCTAGCTATCTTTTTCTACCTCCATAATTGTCACATTCTTTCTAAATCCCTTATATGCACACACTGATATGCTTATATTTTGCTCTATATAAAGAACAGATTTAACACTGTCCATGTGTCTGGGTTCTATCCTATTTGGCAACAGAAAATGCTGCCATCTCAATTTCTTCTTCTTTACCAATAAAGAGTATCCAGAATAGAAGATCATTACAAAGATTTGTTTTTTATGAAAAGCAAATAGATCAAACACAACTACCAAAAAAAGTAAGCCTTTAGTCTAACATTTTCTCTTTAAATTGGTTCCCTCCTAGATCCCAGAATCCCTCTTCTGTATTTTTCTCTTATCTCATCCTTGCAAGGATTTCATTCACCTTCTTTAGTGCACAGAGCACTATTTCCCTTTGTTTGTATGGCAAACAATTTTCAATTTTCTCTTATTAAGGATCACCTGCATGAACAGCCATGTTTCCTCCTGCTCCCTGATGCCGAGGTTTTCTCAATCCGGATTTGTTTATCTTTTTCTTTGTCTGTCCATTGTGTAAAGTCAGTGACTCCTAAAAAACATCCTGCTCCAGCTTTCCTGATTTGAGCAGTCACATAAAAGCCACAAGTGCTCACCTAAACATGCAAATGTAGGACTGAGGTGGACCAGGCTGCCACATTTGCTTTTTCTCCACTATTAAGTATTCAGCTCACTACTGCTTCTCACTTTCAGTGCACAGATGGTAAGTTCCACAGTATACCTTCTTAATCTAACAACATGGAGCCTCACTAGCTAACAAAAAACACACACATTACAACTGCAGGGGGGGTTGGATGGTACGACCTTTAATGAGCTCTTCCAATCCAAGTTTTTCTATGATTAAACTGGAAAAGCCACAAATAGAGAAAATAGTCATAAAATTAAGAAAGATAGGACAGGATTACTTAGAATCTTGTGCTCAAGAAATAACATTAATACTTTAAAAGACTTCAGACATATGTGTTTTTAAAAGGATGACACTCATTCTAGCTAAGTGAAAAAACCTAGTTCATAGAGAAAAAGGCTCATACAAGAAGAATTCAGTAATGCCTACATAAGCATAAAACCATAGTTTATGCTTAGCCCAACTGTGTAGTAGCATGAAGTGGGGAATGAGAACTTCTAGAGTACCACTGACAAGCACTAAAACAGCATTATCTTTAGCAATTAAATTTAGCTTATGAAGCACTTCCCACCTATACTTTTCTGCTCTCACACCTCAGAGTTACGTAATTAACCCATACAGCTGCAAGAGGAAGATAGCCTAGAACAAAGTTTCTCTGGAGGTATCTAAATTTCACAGCTGAAAGAGGTGTTTTGAGGACAGGTAACTGGAACTGACTGAATCCAAAGATAAACCCACTCAGTTCTCAGAGTGTTTCATCATCATCTGGCACAAACTGGGAGTCCACAACAACTTTTAGTACTTTAAAGTCAGCCATAAGACATCACTGCTTTCAGGTAATCATTCCAGGAACACATCACTGGTGAGATCAGCCCAAAGCAAAAACACTCTAAGTGTACCTACTACAAGGCTTCACCAGCCCCAAGAAATTCCTCCTGCTTTACATCTTACTGATCCATCCTTTTATGCAAAGTCAGTTTTGGGAAACAAACAGAAGGGCACGGGGTTTTATCACCCTTTTGCCATTAAATGAACGGAGCAAAAGATCCACACCCCTTCCAGCAAAACCAGCTTGTTCCTCTGTTTATTTCAATGTAAAGAGAACAACACACTATTAAATATTACATACTGTATCTATATATGTATATGCTTATGTATCTCCCACTTAAGAAACCAGACCAGGGCACTTCATATTTTCCCACAAACAGTCATCCCTCAGCTGCACAGCAACCCTTCCCAACACTTCCAGGGACATAATTTCTAAGAGATCACTAAAAAACTACAAACCAAATTGTGCTTACTGGCTCTTCTCATGGTTCACAGAATGCTCTGCTCTCAATATTCAAAGTCTTCTCTGAGAACTCCTCATGAATAAAAATAACCTTAACACCGGCATCAGATATTTTCCCTTGTGGAAAACAATTATCTGTCTACGCTTTCATACATCCTGTGCTGGAATTTGAGATGATGTGCTGCAGAGAGATGTGCACATCTAATCCAACCACACAAGCCTTCCAGTTCCATTCACTAGCCACAGGAATCTGAGCATTACATCACTACAAAGGCATCTGGATTAACCACAAACCAATCCCAGTCGCAGCTGCCTAAAACATTCCATGTTTCACCTCCTGAGACTAAAAAGCCAGCGCTGCTCAGTTGCAGTGCACTGCAGTTGCTCACACAGAGAAAATGCAAGAGCTACCTGCCAGCAGCTTTTCTAAGTTCTGCTGGCTTTATGGATACACCTCCTATTTTCCCTTTTCCCCTTAACAGTCTATGACTATCATCTATTAAAGCTCCTTGTTTCACAGCACCAGAGTCTTCAGAGATTTTCAGGAACCTCACAGTTTCTTTTTTACAGTGTCAAGCTCTTGGGATTCTGGTGTTAGGCTGACAGTTTTATAAGACAACTGTAAAAGAGAATTAACAATTTCAGAAAAGTGAGGAAAATAACTTGCTGGAAGACCCAAGAAGAAGGGAACAACTGTTCGCTTGAATTTTTATAATCAAAATTTTGCAGCCATTTTGAAATGTTAATTGCTCAATAATAACACAACTTAATGGGATCAACATCATTATCAATAATAACGTTATTTCAGAAGCTTCCTGTGAAATGACTAATTATTAAACAAACAAAAAAACCCACCTTCCTTCCCAGTTCACAATTTTTGTAAATTCATTCCTTTGTTCTAAAATGTAACAGTTGTCATTCCTGAATTTTCTTCTGAGCAACAGGAGGCAGCAGTTGTTTCAAAAAACCCAAACAACACACTCTTGCTCTGTAAGAAAGGGCTCAGTTTTCTTCTCAAAACACCAGGTGTTTGAAGTGAGAGCCTTGAACCGCTGGCAACCTGTGTTTTTGCAAGAACTAAGAGTTGGTTTCTTTAATGACCTGCTGTCTTTTAAAAATATAGAGATCAGGCCTCCAGATACATAATGAACTGCTTGAATCTGAAAGTACATGAGTGGCCAATTCCCACTCTTTTTTCAGAGATCACATCTGGAAAGGATTCTTGCCAAATTTGATTTTCCTTGGTTTTGTAAATACTTTCAACAGAGATAAAATAAACAAATAGCTTTATAAATATTCTCTCTACACAACTACACAGAGAAAATTACTTCCACAGACACTGTCACTATAGTCTTGCTGACTCTATTCTTTGCAAACTTTACTAAGCACAGAGTTTATTCCTACTAATATTAAAATAATGGGAACTGATAAAAGACCCTTCATGTAATGGAGCACATCAAATATTGCTAGAAACCACAGATTGGAACATCAATATCAGCTGCAAATGGGTAAAGCTAATCACCTTGATAAAGAACTAGATCTCTACCACTACCACATTTTTTTCAAAGCTTGTCACAGAATACATACAGTGACAAATCAAAAACAAGTTATGGAGCATTCAGACCGAATGATTCCAGAACTTTCAATTTCCATAGACACTTGAATTACATTGCTTTTCATTTCAAATAGTTTTTCACACTTCTGAACACAAACTGCAACCATCTTGTCTCACAGTCCAGCTTGTTCAGCCATGCAGAACAAAGTCCTTTTCACCATAAGCAAAGCCACCATTCATCCAATAATTTGAGTAATCTCTCTGTACTTGTTCCACATTGGATTCATTACTTTTGACCTTAATCAGCCAGAAAAACATACTCCATTTAAAATTAACTCTTCTTAGGACCTAACAACACTGTTGCCTACTTCCACAGAATAAAAATAGTTCAATACATTCTCAGATCCTATTTGTTCAATTTGGTCTCATGGCTCAAACTCAGCTGCAGCCAAAAAAACCAAATTGCTTACTCCTAATGCTCTGTATTTCCAACTAATGAGCTCCCAGACTTTTGCAAAGGCTCTTTGTAATACTCATACTCATGACAAGCAGCATTTTATGCTGTTTTGTTCAGTAATTCCAATCCCCACGGGTGCACAGTTCTTCAGCACTGCCTCTCACATGTAACAGGTGCCTTTAAATTTTGTCTTTTTGAGGCATTGCCTTTTTCTATGCAAAGGTCACTTTTCAGTCAACAATTGTCAAGAACAGTCCTGGAGAAACCAGCAGTGTCACCCACTTGGACACCACCTCTGCAGTACCCTCTTCACAGTAGGGTTACACACATCTTGCAACACATTTATTTTTATGAACCTCCAATTCTCACCCCCACTGACTGTCCCTTAAAGCTCAACAGAAAACACTACTGTAATTCAAACTAGTTAGATCCAACTTTACCCATATCATTCTGAGAGAAGATACAGCTTTGAGTCTTTCTCCACATCTCACTCAAGTTCTTATTTCTAACTTGTTTTTAAGAAGAGTTGTTCCAGTTATTATAGAAAAGCATTAGAAATATTTCTCTTTAACTTACAAGAATTATAAAGCTTCTCCATAATCCAAGTTCTTCATCTTAACTGTGCAACTGATGGTACTTGCAGATCTGTTATGTATTTTTGAAGCTTGTTTGAAACAGACAGTCAATCATCTTTTAACATCTCAATTTGCATAGTTTTCATTTCACCAAATCAATTTCCAATTGTTCAGTCCAATTCTCATTCTCTATCAAGACTGAGCCCAAAATATGATAATCTGAAGAGATTCCGTGATTTCTGGGGATTGTTTAGCTTGGAAAAGAGTAGCCTGGGCAGCTGGAAATCTTACTCTGTGAGAATACCTGATGGAAAGGAGTAAAGAACACAGGGCCAGACTCTTCTCTGTGGTGTCCAGCAGAAGGACAAGATGC